CGTTGAGTTAGTTGTTTCAAAATGTGACCATATTATGTCAGCTGAAGATATGTTTGTGAGCTTTGAAATTTAGTATTATGCAGCATGCATATACCAGTACTTTTTTAAGATAATTACTGACCTTTGTGAGAAATAGGTACAAGTTCAATTCCAATTTGTTATGTTAGTTATATATTATAGTTTCAGAAAGTTTCTATTTTTGAGTGATCTATTGCCAGTATGTATAGTATAAGACAAACATGCCCAAGCTAGCTTTTCCTTGTCACATTTTGAACTGGGTTGTTCATATTGAATAAAGATCGCTAACTTTTTTTTTGGGGGGGGGGGCTGAGAATAAATATATTTTGTTCTTCATTTGCGAACTTGTCCAATAAAAGTGGGAAAGGGTGTTATATCATACCAATAAGCTGCATTGATCACAGCCGTTGAACGGCAAAGCATGCATGTTTGTAGATAAGATTGTACTATATCTATTATAAAATTTAACTACAATGAACATATAGACCTCCACTCATCCGTGATGGGAAAGGGGGTTGAAACAATCGCAGAATAATTTTGCAATTGAAGGACAATTTATTTGTCAACAATCCCTATTAATAGAAGTATAAACTATATGAGGATTTTGTTTACACATTACTGTACATCATAATTATATGAATTATATATTTAAAATTTCTACATGCATGTCAAATTGAAAAATTCCACAATATAATAACATAGACATGCATGTGCTTTAGAATTTATGTATCAAAGCATTCCTGTCAATATTAAATGGACTTTTAGAGATCTATCATAAATAGCCAATCTTTGATTGTGATTCATCTTTTTTAATAAATTGTCAATTTTCATACTTCTTCCGTTCTTCGAATCCCTTCGATAGACAAGATTAGCAAAATTATGTAGATTGCCGCCGCCAGTTGGTTAACAAAATTGTAAGAAGAATCTTTGTGTTTATATATCTTTTATTTCATATTATGTATTTATTTGCATTCGCCCTTCGCGAAGTTTGCTCACAGTGAAAGTTGACATCGCCCCCCGGATCATAAAGTTACAAATTATGTAATCTTCAAGATTTGTGACGTCACGCAATCAGAGTTTGCCAGGGTCCCACTGTGCAAGCCTTAAAATGAACGAAAATCTCACTCAAATTGGCCATATTACCGCGTGTCTTATATATTAAGCCATTTATATGCGTTGCGAAGAACTTCCTGTTAATTTGTAGATTTTGCGCCCGCTATTCTATAGGATTTTCTTAAAATTTCATATATTGTAGAAAATTATATGCCGTCTTTCAAAAGGTCACTTACTTGTAGGTTGTGCAGGCCTTAAAATGAACGAAAATCCCACTCAAATTGCCAAATTGGACCTGCTGTATTACCAGAGGCGTAGCCAGGATTTTTGGTCAGGGGGGGGCAGCAAAACCCAGGTGGGGCCAAAAAAATTTTCCGGACCACAACATTTTAAATCTCTCCGAGCACCTCCCCCCCCCCGTCGACGCCTTTTTTGGTAAAAAGTTTTCCGGACATCACTATTGCTTTGTAGCACTTTTCCCGATTTCCTTATCACTTTTTCCGATGCTTCACCACAAAGATTCCGACAATAGTGACAATTTTCCGACGGCCCTTGAAGCTATATAATCAAGGATTCCCTTTTTTATTGCTGCGTACCGAGTGAGCCTGAAGCGAGCGAGCGAAGCAGCATTCTAATATGAGCAGAGAGGGAGTTTTGAAGTAAATTTTATTTAGCGCATTGTATTGTGGTCGTGTGCGCTTGCTATGCGCAAAACACAAAATAACGTACGACATACAACAATATTTGAGGCGTATTTGAAGGATATCGTTTATTAGTATTTTTGCGCAAGTGAACATAACAAATCCTACAAGGTGATTGGTCAAATTTGACGTATTAATCTGTTATATTCACCTGCAGGTGAACATAACAAAATCGAAATTTTCAAGATGGCTACTAGCCGTTTTGTTGAAGTTAGTGATAAAGAAATACGCGAAATTAAAATGAATTCAGACAAGAAAAACACAAAAAAACTTTTGCAAAAATACTAAAACAATTATTTGTCTCAGGCTCGGTGCTTATCGGGGAATAATATTCATCCCGAATAATTGCTTCGATTGCTAGCTTGCTTCGATTTGTAAATGTTTTGACTCAGGCACTCAGCGTAAGGTTTAGTTTTAAGCCCTGTAAAGGCCATAATTTAGTGTATAAAATAACGTGACTGCACTTCGTGCGTTGTTCACTCAATGGACTTTGACCACTGTAAGTTCTGTATTTTAATTTATTTTAAAGTTTTGGTTTCTTAGTTTAATACTGTGTATAGAATGTGGTAAATGCGCCATTAGACTTAATAATATGAAATCAGATAGCAAAAACTTGTGTTATATAATTCACCTGTACGTCTTAAGAATGCTTTGTCGTTTGCATTTATACGCGTCGCAGCGCGTATTAAATTCAACAAATTCCACTTGATCTTGAAAATGATATATATTCTTGCTTGTGATTTAGTAAATATTATACTTCCATAAACATTAACATTAACATCAACACGCCTATCTGTTATCTGTGATTGCTCTTGAATCCGTGCATGGTGTTGGCAACAAATGCATTGCTTTTTCTCAGACACTCGTGGTATGAATCGATTCCGTATTCCTTAATTTAAGCTCCGACCACAGTGCTCAGAAGTCGCTAGCTCGCTGCGAGTAATAACTGCATGCTTTGTGTAATTTGTACTATTTTTAGTTCTATTTGCTCTTGATGCCCGCAGCAATCCCTACCTTGCAGGTACCCTTGTTAGTACAATACATTTTATCAGGGGGGCCAAAATTTTGCCAGGGGGGCCCAACGCCTCTGTATAGTTCTACGCCTCTGTATAGTTCTCGTCAACGCTTGGAACAAAGGCCGGCCCTTCGTGAATTAGCCTGCGAACACACAGTACTCTTGATCGCATGGTCGGCTTGGTTTTATATGGGATGTCAGACAGTGGAATCCAGTTAGTACTGTCAAGTTAAGAAGAGGCAATAAAATTTGGCTGTCTTGAACGGGATAAAATCCGTTAAAACTGGCCGGAGCATTAGTCTTTTAAAAATCAGATTTAAAAATCAGATCGAAAAAATCGGATATATACAATTATATACAACAGCTCTTAATTTTGTATAAACTTTCGTGCCACATCAGTGAGAATATATTTAATAACTCGGTAAGTAATTTTCAAGTTCTTTTCAAACATGGTCAAATGTTCAAAACTACTAGAGAACTTTCTTGAAAACCAAAATTTCAACAGTTCAAAGCTATAGATGCTCTGTAAATGTATAATGTGAAACTCATTAATAATTCATGAAGAAAACACAAAAGAAATTATGACTCACATGAGCGTGAACGAGTTAGTATATCTGATACAGAAATCATGTTGATTTGGTAAGTAATTTTCGGGTTCTTTTCAAACATGGTCAAATGTTCAAAACTACTAGAGAACTTTCTTGAAAACCAAAATTTAAACAGTTCAAAGCTATAGATGCTCTGTAAATGTATAATGTGAAACTCATTAATAATTCATGAAGAAAACACAAAAGAAATTATGACTCACATGAGCGTGAACGAGTTAGTATATCTGATACAGAAATCATGTTGATTTGGTAAGTAATTTTCGGGTTCTTTTCAAACATGGTCAAATGTTCAAAACTACTAGAGAACTTTCTTGAAAACCAAAATTTAAACAGTTCAAAGCTATAGATGCTCTGTAAATGTATAATGTGAAACTCATTAATAATTCATGAAGAAAACACAAAAGAAATTATGACTCACATGAGCGTGAACGAGTTAGTATATCTGATACAGAAATCATGTTGATTTGGTAAGTAATTTTCGGGTTCTTTTCAAACATGGTCAAATGTTCAAAACTACTAGAGAACTTTCTTGAAAACCAAAATTTAAACAGTTCAAAGCTATAGATGCTCTGTAAATGTATAATGTGAAACTCATTAATAATTCATGAAGAAAACACAAAAGAAATTATGACTCACATGAGCGTGAACGAGTTAGTATATCTGATACAGAAATCATGTTGATTTGGTAAGTAATTTTCGGGTTCTTTTCAAACATGGTCAAATGTTCAAAACTACTAGAGAACTTTCTTGAAAACCAAAATTTAAACAGTTCAAAGCTATAGATGCTCTGTAAATGTATAATGTGAAACTCATTAATAATTCATGAAGAAAACACAAAAGAAATTATGACTCACATGAGCGTGAACGAGTTGTATATCTATCTGATACAGAAATCATGTTGATTTACATCAACTTTAAGTTTAATTTTCTCACCAAATATCCGCATTAATTTATTGTCGTTTCACAAGCTATATAAAGCATTCGCGTCCGTGTTGTATCAGACATACCTACATGTACAACCTCTCGCCTTCGGCCCCAGTTTGTATATCAGCTGATACAACACGACCGCTCATGCTTTATCTATTTATACTTATAATGATCTTTTTCGGTCGTTTAGAACCAAAAACTCCACTTAAAGTGTGACTATAACCCCAAATATGATTTTTGGTATCGGTAATATGTGAGTCAGTCTAAGAAGAAATGTAATAGATTTTTATAGAAAAAACTTCATCTTGGTCAACTTTTTCACTGTCAAAGTTTCCGTATATGAGGTCATTAGGTGAATTTTGGTACAAAAAACAAAGGAAAACTAATTTGCAATTAACCTAATGACATCATATCCGGAAACTTTGACAGTAAAAAAGTTGATCAAGATGGAATTTTTTTTATTATAAAGATATATTTATACAAAAAATCATATTTACGATAGTCGCACTTTAAGTATTTTGCTATCAAGTCCGTGTTACTATACTTCATAGAAGATTCATTCCATGATTATGGGACATTATTCATTTATTAGCCTATATTAATTTATATATAATAATTGCTAATAAATATTCATTGATAAAATAATTGCTAATTATTCTATTACGAGTATATAATTACCATCATTATCAAGAATATTCACAGAAGATGGATTTCCCAATTTCACAGCCTCTACAGAAGAAGACACCAAGGATACTCCAAATGATTCGGTTGGTTCTAACAGATTATCATCAGTTATATCGATTTCTACCCACTTTTCCGTTTCACCAGGTTCAAACGTTATATCCATTGTCTTTGCACCAAAATCTTCCTCACCAGCAGTGCCTGCATTTGTTGTAAAGCTAAAAAAGAAAATAGCTTGAAAACTATGATCAACTTTTCATTAATTTAATGGTTAGTACAGTTTAAAAACTAAGAAGCAAGTTGGAAACTCAAAATACGAGTCATTTTACCAAAGTTAATTATTTTGTCTTTATATTTTGGCCACATGATGCCTTTGAAATAAAGATTTTAAATTAACTAATATCTTAAATCGATGCTTGAAATTTTATAAGATGAAGGATCAAATCAAAGCTTAATTGCTTTGTTTGGTGTTTCCCGCCAAACAAGTTCCTGCATTTGGCTGTTTTTTATTGAAATAATATATAACATGTAAAAAGCAGCCCAGTTAATTCACACAAGAAATGCCGATCACACAATTTTGCCAATAGATATGTTTGGCTGTATTTCAATTAATCTTACCTAACTGTCACTGGAAATGCGGCTTCTCCGGAAAGAAAACTAACTCCAACTATAGCTTTTCCTGCATCCTCAGAAATTTGGTAAACATCTTTGGTAAAACCAATAACAGCTTCTGCAAACGAAAAATTATTTGTAAAACGTTAGAGATTATTGCTCCGGTCGCATTATATCACAGTGAGATAATAGTGTTAATTATATTTATACTGCAGTCTTGTATGTAGAGGCCAAATATTAACAAAGGGAAATTCGTTTCTATGCAGGAGGCATGTTATGCTTATCATGATATCAAAATAGAGCTGGATATACACTCATTTTGATTTCAAACCTCGACAAATTCCCGCATTTAAAGACTTTTAAAATAGAGATCTAAAATAAAGATTTTACGATTTAAAGTTTTTAAGGTGACTTCCTACTCTTTTTTGGCAATTGGAAACTTTACAATTTGGGGCGGAATGTTTGAACAATTTCACTTGTTGAAAAGTAAATTATACTATATCTGAGTTATAGAATACTAAAGGTACGAAATGTTTACCGACAATGACGTCATTTTCGTTTCCATGGTAACCATGACCACAGAATATAGAGACAAACGGAAGGTTTTCCTTTTCTTCTTGGTTTTTCCTATGGTTTTGGTGTAACCGTAATTCGTCATCACAATGCTGACGCCATAGTCCTAGCCAGTGCACTTATGAGAGGCATTCACCCCCGGATAATATTTAAAATGACGGACGTCCAGGGGGTAAATGCCTCTCATAAGCGCACTGGCTAGGACCATGGCGTCAGTATTTTGATGACAAATCATTGCGAATCGTGGCGTAGCAGCGGTTACATTTTTGGTTGAGTCGAGCTTATGTGTGTGTTTATCACAGAATAAAGACACACAGTAGGTCGACTCAGCCAAAAAAGCGTAACCGCTGCCACGCCATGATTCGTCATCAAAATGCTGACGCCATTGTCCTAGCCAGTGCGCTTATGAGAGGCATTCAGTCACGGAACGTCCACCATTTTGAATATTATCAGGGGAGTGAATGCCTCATAAGCACACTTGGCTAGGACCATGGCGTCAGCATTTTGATGACGAATTAGGGTTATGCCAAAATCACAGAATAGGAAGTTATAGCAGAAGCGTAACTCTAGTCGTTTTCCTTATTGTTTGACGTCCACGAAAATTTTAACTCGCTCACGCCAATCCACGCCATCCTGGCTAGTACAGCCGGAAGTTTTTATCAGGTTTTGGTAGGTACAAAGTGCCGGTTGTACTAGCCAGGATGGCGTGATTGATGACGAATCGCTTGTAAAAACGCGGACAAATACTTGCTTGAGTTACGCTTCTGCTATACCTTCCTATTCTGTGCCAAAATCATAGGAACCATAGAAACCAAGAAGACGATCTTCTGTTTGTATCTATTCTGTGTCTTTATTCTGTGCCATGACGTTTCAATATGGGCAATTTTTTTGCTATAAGCTAAATAAATTAATATAACTAGAAAAAAACAACTGTGTGTAAAAAGCATTTTATTACCGTCATTATCAAGGATGTTCACTGTTGCAGGTTGGCCAATTTGTATGGGATAAGACGGATCTTTTAGAGCTACCTGAAATGCTTCGGTCGGTTCAATTAGCGTATCATCTTCTATATCAATTTCCACCGATATGGGACCAGATTGCCCGGATTGAAATGTTACACTTCTGGATATTCCAGTAAAATCTGCCTCTCCAGCTGTACCAGGTAGTGTGTTGAGACTAAAAGATGCGATAAAGAAAACCCAACTACTAAGTATGGAACTGTATGTTATGAATTCCATGTCATAATGCATTAATGCTAAATGTTCAGATTTTTACTAATTTAATCGGGCTCTTTTCTTAGAAATCAAATTCAGCAGTACATCGAGACACTCTAGTAAAATATTTGACTCCAGAAAATTTAGGTATAGCGACGTTCATAACGATGATGATGTATATACTAATAGCGATGATGATGGTAATATGACTAAAAATTATTACCAACAAACAATAACAAAGTATCACAACTTAATTACAAGTAGAGAAATTAATTAGAAACAAGATATATTCTCTTTGTGTATTTTGTTTTTGACTATGAATGAAATAATGCATATTTCATATGAACTATTAGAAAATACATACATGCAGAAACCCTCGCCTTGCTGACAAAACCATTGTATTTTCCGAACAAGAAGATTTAAAGTAGTTGTTATGGTGACACGATAATTTTTTTAAGATTACTTTTTAAAAAAAAAAATCCTAAAAGTATCACTTTTAATGTTAGGTATGTTATTATACGTAATATAAGCCTCAATTTAAGGTAAAATTCAACCACAATAAAATTCAACGTTTCGCAAAACGTTTTAAAAATGTTCTTTATAAAACTAAACCCTTTATCGATAAACTTTGTCTTTGAGTTTGAAATAAAGTGATTTGAAATTTTCGCATGCATGCAAATAACTGTCTTTGCTTTCTTTTTTATTTAAAAATTTTAATATAATAAAAAAGGGTAATCAATAAAGATACACTGAAATTATATGCTAGTCTTTTTTCATTTAAAATATACGCAACGATCAGCTTTTAAAGCAATTATAAAGCAAACAATATTATACATCAATATTTAAAACAAACTTACCGTCGTTTAACATCGGCGCCTTTGCTCCCTTCTTTTAACAATTCTTTCGCCTTTTTTTTCTCAAGAAGCTTTTGAAATTTACAAAATCTTGCAAAAATGAAATATATTTGCAAGAAATCATCAAATCAAGAGACAAGAAATGTTTGTTATTTCCAATATTTCGCTGTCGTCATGCAGTCGTTATAATGCAAATTTTAAATTGGACCATAGGCAGCCCAGAAAATACGTGTATTCACTTAAAAATGCATTAAACGCTTAAAAATACGTATAAAGTTCGTCTGAATTTGCTATCAAGCGATTTATTGTGTAGCTCATTATACATGCAGATTCCAATGTATAATGACCTACACAAATAAATCGGTTGATAGACGAACTATATTCAGACGAACTATATACGTATTTTTTAAGCGTATAATGCATTTTTAAGTGAACACACATATTTGCTGGGCTGCCTCTGATTGAACCAATCAGTGTTCGGTATTCATGACAGTCCGCTATATTTTGAGATCAGTGAGGATGACCACTCACCCAAACACGTACGGTAACCCACGCCCGCGATCATTGATGAACTTTAGACTTCGCTAATGCTTTCCTTTCCCCCGGGGGTAAATAGCCGCGTGGAATTAATACCCTCGCCCCGGAAACCCAAGTCCGCGATCATTGATGAACTTTAGACTTCGCTAATGCTTTCCTTTAGTACCCTCGCCCCGGGCTTACGCCCGGAAAGGCGCTCCGCGCCGTTGGCTCGGAGATAGGAACTTAAAAAACTCTGATCTTGCACCACGCAGTCTACAGTTATATATTTGTTCATAAAAGATCAAGTTATGAACATAACGACGGTAGTTATACTCACTTAATTGTCAAAGGAGTGGTTATTTCGCCAGACTGAACAGAAATTTGAACAATTGCTTTTTTATCTTCTTCACTGATGTCGTACGTTAGAGTGTCAAATGCAATGGCAATGGCTAAAAAGTAATGAAAGTCTGTGTTGAAACGTTGACTTTGAACTCCATGCAAGTACACCTGTAGTAATATGTTGGGGGCATAGGCGTTGAGAAATAGTCTCTCAAGATTGGAGGAAATATGCTATATAATTGAGAAATTCTGTCAAGATTGGGGGAAATATGCTATATAATAGTCGAAAATGGACGAAAAATATAATATATATTAATATTATACCTCAACTTCATATTGTCCAATCAGGAAGCTTAGTTTGTGGCACGTGAGCATGAAATTAATCGCGATATCACGCCTTACGTCATCAATTAGCAAGCCTGCGTTCCTTTTGACAATGTTTCTTATATCTATGGTTCCACCCCATGTTCCCCAGAGAACATAGGGAACATGGGGTTGAACATTATTCGTAGACCACGCGAGACAACACGCATGACGACAAGATGGCCGACAAAATATAAATAGTATTATTAATGAGTGATGAATAATTAAATTTTAAACGTAAAACCTGGGGCTTTTTCAAAACTTTGAAGCAAATTTTGAAAAATGTTGTCATTAATATTCCAAACGATATGTGATTCGAAAGAAAATAGTATTATTAATGAGTGAAACATCTCATGAAACAGTTGTCAACAAAGAATTAATAGCAGTTTACGAATGGCTAAATGCGAATAAATTAACACTCAATTTAAAAAAGTCGAATTACGTTATTTTTCGTCCATATCAAAAAAAGCTTAATTTCCAAGTCAGCATAAAAATGTTTAACAATAATACAAACAAACTAACTGAGATTGAGTGCAAAGAATTTATCAAATATCTGGGAGTAATAATTGATAGTAGCCTTACCTGGAAGTATCATATAGAAAACATTGCATCTAAGATAAGTAAATCAATTGGAATACTTACAAGGCTTAGACATTTCGTGCCTCTTTCAACCTTACTTAGCATATATCAATGTTTAATACTGCCATATATAACCTATGGTATAATTGTATGGGGACAGGCATCAAATGTTTGTTTAAATAAGATTCTTATTCTCCAAAAACGGGCTTTGCGCCTGATTAATTTTAAAAGTAATAACGAACACGCCATCCCGTTGTTTAATAATTTAAATATCCTTCCTTTGAATATGCTGTATTATAAAACAGTGTGTAACTTAATGTACGATGTCTCTAATAGTTCTTGCCCGTCTGCAATTTCTGATTGTTTTATCCAGGCAAGATATATGCACTTATTAGGATGTTAGGGTTTGTAATCCAAGTGAGAATATATACATTTTAAGACCTAACCAGGAACGACTGCGAAAAATGCAATACAAGGTCCTCTGGTAGGAATTGAACCTACGGCCCTGCGATTCCGGTGCAGCGCTCTAACCAACTGAGCTACGGAGGCCAGCTTTTGAGCTGTAACCGTAAGTTCAGCAGCTGGCCTCTGTAGCTCCGTTGGTTAGAGCGCTGCACCGGAATCGCAGGGCCGTAGGTTCAATTCCTACCAGAGGATCTTGGGCTGCATTTTTCGCAGTCGTTCCTGGCTAGGTCTTAAAATGTATATATCCTCACTTGGATTACAAACCCTAACATCCTAATATTAATTCCACCAAGTGAAGTGCAAGAATCTAAGTTATTCAAGTCCACCTTATCACAACACGCACACCCGATTACCTATATATACATGAACGTACGGTTACAGCTCAACAGCTGGCCTCTGTAGCTCAGTTGGTTAGAGCGCTGCACCGAAATCGCAGGGCCGTAGGTTCAATTCCTACCAGAGGACCTTGTGCTGCATTTTTCGCAGTCGTTCCTGGTTAGATCTTAAAATGTATATATTCTCACTTGGATTACAAACCCTAACATCCTAATATTAATTCCACCAAGTGAAGTGCAAGAATCTAAGTTATTCAAGTCCACCTTATCACAACCCGCACACCCGATTACCTATATATACATGAACTTACGGTTTCAGCTCAACAGCTGGCCTCTGTAGCTCAGTTGCTTAGAGTGCTGCACTGGAATCGCAGGGCCGTAGGTTCAATTCCTACCAGAGGACCTTGTGCTGCATTTTTCGCAGTCGTTCCTGGTTAGGTCTTAAAATGTATATATTCTCACTTGGATTACAAACCCTAACATCCTAATATTAATTCCACCAAGTGAAGTGCAAGAATCTAAGTTATTCAAGTCCAAGATATATATATATATATATATATATATATATATATATATATATATATATATATATATATATATATATATATATATATATATATATGTACACCCATAACACTAGACATTGCATGCGCACAGCTAACAATTTTTACATTCAATACTCAATCAAGATTAAACAAACATAATTGATTGACATCTTTATTTAAAACACGAGGTCCATTTCACAGGTTATGTTATGTGCTCTTCAATGGAGACGTGTACCTATACTAGTCGACTAATTACTAATAAAAAAGTATCAAACTATTTACAAAAGTAACAAACTACACATGCAAAGAAACTAATATAAGAGAAATATTAAGATATTTTAGATTTAAACTCAACGATTTAAACTCGGTGCAAAAAGATTTAAAAGATTTAAACAAAAAGTTTTATTCAAAAAGATTTAAACTCGGTGCAAAAATATGGAATAATATTCCTGATAATGTACGTGAATTTGGAAAAAACAAGTTTATTAAAACTATCCATAAAACGCTCTTAACTGTACTAAAACTTGAGGACGATTATGTTGGTGTGCCTACGTTAATACAATTGATTGCTAAACAATGAAATTATTGTCTTGTGTGTATAGTTTTTCCTATTTATAATTTGGTTCTAAATATTTCCCATAGATCAGAATCGAATTGGTTGCTTATATATATTATCCACAACTTTTGTTAATATAACTCATGAGCATGTAAATATATACTATACAGGAATGTTAATTTGCTATCTGCCTCGATTAACTAAGCTATTAGCGGATAGTATTGTATTTTGTAAACGTCTTTTAATTAATTAATTAAATAAAGTATCAGTAAGTATCAGCAAAGCGATGATACTTGCTTTAATCCGAAAATAAAACATCGTATTCACGAAGCCGAAGGTACGTTAGCCTGCGCGCAGACTATATAATGACATATCATTATATAGCCTGTGCGCAGGCTAAAGGTACGTATGTGTCAAGTTTTTAATTCTCAACTTGAAGGCATTAATTTTCGGTATAAAATATCATTTATAGACCCTCCGCTCGGGGGATTCGGCGAAATATTACCCTCAATGATGTGGGGCAAAGCCCCTCGGGAAATATCATCACTTCGGGTAATATTTCGCCGAATCCCCCGAGTGGAGGGTCTATAAATGATAAATAATACATTCCCAATTTTTTTAGTCATCACCCCAATGTTTTTGACAAGTCGGGCACAATGGGAAAAAGTCGGGCAAATTTCTTTCCTCCCCCTAATTTATTCCTTCCCGTACGCCTATGGTTGGGGGTATTTTCACTTTTTAGGATGAACATGGTACCTTATCATTCAGTTATATTATTGTAGAACGTATGGCAAGAATGAGCACACAGGTTGGGCGACTATTTCAAGATAACTTTAACTTGCACATTAGGACAAATATATGTTAATTATATGACATTATAATTTACACACCTATACAAGTTTTCCCATCTCCAGAGTATCCGATATTACATGTACATTCATACTTTCCAGGTTCAATATCTGTGCACGTAGCATATCGGTGGCAGTCATCTTTTGAAGTACCACATATTTTATCCACTACAAAAGATATTATATTTGCACAGATGAAAATTCGGACTTATTCTAGGTTCCATATGACGTCACGGAGGACAAGGGTCTGTGTTTGTTATTTTAGTTGACCTGAGTTCAATGATTGACCCACTTGAGTCAAATTATGCCAAAACATCACGTGATTGAATCCCAAGAATAAAATGAAAATTTTTCTGAACAAATAAAGAGTTCTAACTGATGTTTTCACAAAACAAAATATTTAAAGTTCATTAGAGATTTATAGTGATCTGTAGATGCAGAATAGAAAGATGAGGATATGTTTTTGGGTGAAGACAAAGAGTTGTACATCACTTGAAGTGCATCAAACTCCAATGGCTGCAATATTAAAATTATTGAAATAAAAAATTATAATAATTTAGATAAAACGCCGACGTCAACGCAGAAAGATGACGATATATTGGATTTGGGAAAATTAGAGTGAAAATGAAATCCAGCCCATTTAATGCACATATTTCGGTATATAAGTCTGAGGTTGATAGCACAAACTGAAGCCTTGGAAATTCTTCATATCATGCGAAAACCGTATTTAAAAGTGAAAAATAGATATCCGTATCGGTACCCATGAGTATCATTCGTCGAAATAATGATTAATGATCAATTCTTGTTTCCATTTACAGAAAATCGTACCTTTTTCCTTTCATAAGTGCGTTAATTTAAGACGCTTCCAAACCTTTCGTTAATTTAATAACGTTGATATGACGTCACTCCGTTTAATATTATGCAATAAAAATTAATCGATATGACGATTTCACAGTTGGCTGTTGCTGTTCAAAAGCCAATCAAAAACCACGAATTCTTTCAAATAAATAATTGTCACTTATTTACTGAGACCGAGGGAAACAGCGTGTTTTGGGGCTCCAATACCGCCGTTATTACCCGAGGCGAAGTTAAAGATCAGTCAAAGGGCCACAAGACACAATGTTTTCCCGAGGTCTCATTAAATAAGTATTTTAAAATTATTAATATATAGCAAGTGTCAAAGTTCAATTTTTCTGTTTGCTGATTGGTCAACAATATATCACGTGCCAGTCCACATGCATGCTTTAGTGAAGGGGCAACCGGTCAACAATGAGTTGTTGACTGGTCAATAATAAAACCGGAAGTGAAGCGCGAGCTGTTCGCCTCGACCGCCGTTGTTTGCCCTCGACTTCGCCTCGGGCAACAACGGCGGTCTCGGGGCCACCAAACACGCTGTTTCCCTCCGTCTCAGTAAATAAGTGATTTTTTTGGTATTCCGATGATAGAAATCTGTCTTTTTATGTCTTAATAATAGATTAATGACGTCTTCTTCTGAACGGCTTGCAAGCCGACCGGCAGACATGCTCAAACTCTTGAAAGAACTTTGAACTTGCCGGAGCTCGCGACTCACTTCCGGTTTTACTATTGACCGGTCAATAATTATTTAATTGTTGACCGGTTGCCTCCTCACCAAAGTTTTGTGAAACGGCACGTGATATCGTTTTGTCCAATCGCCAAACAGGAAAATTGAACTATGACATTTGCTATATGATAATAACTATTATCAAGGATCAATTCACCGTCCCATAATGGATCAGTGGCGTAACGTTATATCAGGGGGCCCCCGGTTCAAAATTTTCGAAGGCCCCCTAGTAGAAGTGCCAAAGGCACGAGTCGAGGCGCCGTATGTGCACGAGTTTGCTAGGGAGTCCTAGGGAGTTTCTAGGAATTTTTTAATCTAGACTCTCTGAAATGCCATTTCCTGGTTTTTGGGGATTTTACAGAACTCTGATGGTCAGAAAACGACATTGTAACATATCAGAGGCCCTGACCAACGTTTTTGCTCTATCGCCTAAGCTTGGGGGCCCCAATTTGGCCCATTGGGGTTGGGGACCCCCGGGTTCTCCCGGTCTGAGCCAATAGTGGTTACGCCACTGTAATGTAGCCTCGTACCCAGGCTCTTTAGTAATTAATAGCGTTCTGAGCTCTGGGTGAGCTCAGAACGCTATTAATTACTAAAGAGCCTGGGTACGAGGCTGACTGTGATTAAGAGAGGAGGTAAGAGCCTCCACCTAATTGGGTACTAATTACGACGTACTACAAGTGCTTTGATTGCCGTCTCACTAGTATTCTTAATATATGAAATAGTAGTAATTAAGATGAGCTTTATATAATAAAGAGGACATGATAAGGGGGTTTTATCAGGTACAAAGCCATTTCACGTAACATTATTTATTTATGAATAATGAGTGTTTAATGAGTGTTTAACTGGTTATAACAATCCTGATACATACCTATGCATGTCTTGCCATCTCCTGTGTAGCCTGTTATACATTTGCATTCATATTCACCTGAACCTGTATCTGTGCACGTTGCGAAGAAAGGATTACAGTCGTCTCTTTCAGAACCGCACACAGGAGGAACTAAATTAAACAATCATATAACTCATGATATATGGAATGATTTGAATAATCACAAATTGCAACACACCTTTGTTCATCTTATTATACTTAATTCTTAAGAATTAAATAATACGTACGAGTAACTAGCTAATTTGCGACTAAAGCTCGGGTCTCAACGCATATTAAAGTAAAACTGACTGTACGTTTGCGCATGTGATCTTACGTTTTGTAGTTTAAAGTTATGCGTTAACATTTTTCAGACCCAAATATCTCGAATATTAGATTTAAAAAAAAACACTTTTAAAATAAGTAATGCCGATATATTTTTGTTAGAAATCTTGTTGAGACTATATTATTCGCAACAACAATTTGACTTCTTGTGAATCCGACAGAAGATACGGTATATCACTACATGCATGAGCAGAATCGATATAGTTAAAAATAGAATAGATATAGTTAAAAATCGATCGTATTGTTTATAAACTTACTAAGACAAAACTTTCCATTTCCAACATATCCATCGTTACATGTACACTGGTACTCGCCACCTGCAATGTCTGCGCATGTCGCTTGCGGGGCACAGTCGTCACTAGCACCACACACTGAAGGAACTAAATTGCATTGCAAAAAAAGTGCGAACATATTATAAGTAAGAGTTTTTATTTACCCTAACTTGATTTGATAGATACGACAAGTTAATCGGAAGTGGTAGAGATGTCTTGTATAAAGGTAATATCCAAGAGTATATATGATAATATGGCAGGTAAAGCGGAAACCAACTGGGCGAGACGATAAGAAAGCATGAGTGAAATGTTAAGTTTACACACTTTAAATGAAGAGGTGCACACGGTATTACTCTATGGACAATTAACAAAAGAAAAAAAGATGGAAAACGAAAACGTGATGAACATTAAACAATAGGTAGAGGTAACATCAAGGACGATTTAACTATAGATGGAGAGAAATGGAACACAGCAACATTTCAGAAGAATATCAGAATAATAATGTCGATGATAATTACAACATGCCACGTGTTTAATATGTACGTCTATTTTTAAGCTTGGATTACACGGTTTCTTAATTTGATCAATACATCTCTGAACTAGAGTACAGAGTGGATAATTGTCATCGGTCCTTATTGTTGCTGTTGCGAGTTTTGTTGTCTTAGTTGTCAGTTGTTAATTGAGTAGTTATTAGAGAACTTTAGCAGCGAGCTTTAATGTCATCGTTGCCGTGTTAGTCACGAATGTTTAGTTTATATTACCTGGACAAAACCTCTGTATGAAAGTGTTCACAGTCTCGGTTAATTCCTTGAAAGTTTTTGCAAGAATCGCATTTTCTTGTACCTGCACCATGTCTCTTACTTGTCGTTTCGCACTTTCGTCTGTTAATCCAACGCCGACCGCAAACACGTTCATGTTACGTCGGAAGAACGGTTGCATAGCTTCTTTGACGTATACATAGCCCCTTCGTTTAGATTCACGTGTTTGTTTACCGTCTGTGATTACCATGAAGATTTTTTCCACGTCAGATTGATCTTCCCGATATCCAGCTGATTTAATGACGACTTCTTTGTCGGCAACTGCTAACCCTTGATGTGTTTTTGTTCGACCTCCTTGCTCTGGTCCAGGCATCGTCCTCGCGATTTGAGCAAAACGGCCAGGAGTTCGGCTTTGCTGCAGGGTGATTCTCCTGGTACCTACCTCGCTGAAGGTGACAATAGCTGCTTGACCGATAACTTCGCCTTTGCTATTTAATTCCCCAACCCTTAGTTTTTCTGCGAGAGATGTTAAAAATATCCGCACCAAATCATAATCAGCTTCTGGTATACTAGAAGACCTGTCCAATACAAAAATGATATCCATTTTTTGGCACTGTCCTTTGGATGTTCCTGAAGCTATATAAATAAAAAGATTGAAATAAGTTATTATCATGCATGTTAACAATTAATCTCTACATCAGATACAAACTTAACCTACCCAGTAAAGTAATTTATTATATGGTAAAATTGTCCATTTGTGTTAAAACGTTGTTTACGCATAAAAACACTTTTTATAACAATGACAACAAGTGAAAAACAGGTGGGAAATTTGCTGTCACTGGTCAGTAAATTGCAGACGCAAGCGAAAATTTTGTTTTTAATTATTAATATGAGAAAAACAAGTTTTTGGGCTTTTCGTTTTGGAAGGAACCGTGGATGTGCAAGAATTTAAGTTCATTTATTCAAATGCTATTTAAAAATTTCCTGGATAAGAGAATTTAAACTGAAATCGGGCATTTATAAACTATTTATTTCTACGACGAAATATTCACGAAATCTAACTTTTTCCGAAGATGCAAGTTCAACCTCGTACCCAGGCTCTTCCCACTACGTGCAGCGAGGCGCGGTGGGCTTAAAATGCATTTTTCACGCATTTTTCTATTCAGAAATACCTTTAAAAAGTTTATTTATGATTCAATCCTTGAAAACACTTATGCCTGTATTCTAAAAGCTCACTCACGCTCACACTCAATGAGTGGAGGTTCAATCTGAGCTTCCCTTGAGTGTCAATGGCTCAATGCTACGTTTTTGAATAGCTGGAGGGTGAGTAGTCACATAGTAAGGTACGATACTAACCCTCCAGCTATTCAAAAACAGCATTGACACTCAAGGGAAGCTCAGACTGAACCTCCACTCTTTGTGTGTGTGCGCTTTTAGAATACAGTTCGTGATTTTGCTAAAAATAGGAAAAAGCTAAATTTTCAACTTAAGATTGTAAAAAATGTAGTCGAGAGCCTCAAAACGAGAGTATCTCTAAATGATTCTTCAAAGATTTCTTAATACACTAATCAAAGTATTTTTGATATGAGAATACGGGTTGATACCAAAAACGGCAGAACTGTCTAATATAGCTCTTATAGTGTTCTTATAGTTCCAGTTGCTTATGGTGTACCACAGGGCGGTAACTTAGGGTTATTACTTTAATGACCTTCCTAATTGTCTCAGTGCAGCATCACCGAGAATGTTCGCCGATGATACGAATATTAGTTATGCGGCCAATACATTGTTCGAACTTGAAAATGGAATCAATTCAGAATTTAAAAATCTGAAATGTTGGTTAGAAGCGAACAAACTAAGTCTCAATATTGCCAAGACAGAATTTATGATAATTGGATCCCGTCGATCAACGTATACAAGCTCATTCCAACGAAAATATCAATATTGACTTAGATGCATGGCAATGTAATTAAACAAGTTGACAAAGCTAAATCACTAGGTCTAATTAATACTGACAAAAACCTTTCTTGGTTCAAACATATTGATATGAAATGTAAAAAGAATTCTTCCGCTATATAGGTGCTCTTAAACGAATACGACCTTTCATATCAATCCAAACTGCAATCGAGATATATAATGCAATAGTTCAACCTCACTTTGATTACTGTTGCCCTGTCTGGGATGAATTTAACGTTACATTATGTGAAAAAATGCAAAAATTACAAAATAGGGCTGCCAGAGTGATTACGAAGTCCAGTTACGATGTCAGTTCTAGCATTCTTTTAGAGAAGCTGCATTGGGACAATCTATCATTACAAAACAATCAATAAACTAGCGCCAGAGTATTTGCAAAATCAGTGTTTTTATTTCGCAGCACATGCAGACTATAACTTAAGAAATGCTGAAATGAAGCTGAATTTACCGAAACCACGTACGGACTATCTGAAGCGAAGTTTTTGCTACAGTGGGGCACGGCCTGGCAAGGCCTCAAGGAGCTTCTGTCGAAAGTCCCTTGGGAAGCAGGCTTACTTACTAATGATGTTGACACATCCCTTTCAAATTGGTGTGACATGTTTCTTGCGGCTGTGGACAATTCCATCCCTAAATGCACCTCAAGAAATATAAACAGGCACCCCTGGATCGATAAAGAACTATTAACGCTTAGTAAGAAAAAGAATACGCAAAGAAAGAAAGCTTTTAAAACAGGTTCTCAAAATGACTTGGATAAGTTTAAAGATCTGCGTCGTGATACTAAACGCATGATAGCACAGAAAAAGAAAGATCATTCATACAAAATGAAAGTAGCACTTGGTGAAAATCCTAAGCGATTTTGGTCATATGTAAAATCAATTACCAATCAGAAAAGTGCCATTAATTTTTTATGAAACGGTCAATCTTTCATTACAAATAGCTACACCAAAGCTAACTTATTGAACAAGTATTTCCATTCTGTCTTTGCAGCTGAAAACGAATTAAATCCAAATCCTCTCCACGTTTCTAGATCATGTATACCTCCAAACTATTTAAATAATATTCAACTATCAACATGTGAAGTAGCTAGTGTTCTCAAAGGACTAGATCCAAACAAGGCTAGCGGCCCCGATGGTATCCCTAATCGACTGCTAAAAAATGTGGCCGATGAAATTGCGCCCGATGAAATTGCGCCGTCGTTATGTTCTGTATTCAATTTGTCTCTTTCACTTGGTGTTTTTCCCACTAACTGGAAATTTGCAAACATTGCACCTGTTTTTAAGACTGACGATCCAACCCTTCCTTCCAACTATAGACCAATCTCCTTGCTATGTTCTATTTCTAAAGTTTTGGAGAGATGTGTAAACACGCACTGCTATCCCTATCTCACATCCAATATTTATGACCCCCAACACGGATTTTTAAAAGGGAAATCAACAGTCTCGCAATTGCTACAAATATATCACGATATTCTTACCAACCTCGCTTGTGGAAAAGAAACAGATGTGCTTTACCTCGACTTATCTAAGGCGTTCGATAGAGTATCGCATCGCCTCCTATTGCTAAAGATAGAAAATTTAGGCATCTCTGGGCCGCTGTTACAATGGTTTAAAAGCTATCTAACAGGTAGATATCAACGAGTCGTGCTTGAGGGTGGTGCTTCGGATTGGTTGCCCGTAACATCCGATGTTCCTCAGGGATCCATCCTTGGGCCTATCATGTTCCTTATATACATTGATGACCTGCCGTACTACACTCAAAACAGCTCTAAAATTGCCTTATATGCAGATGACTCAAAACTATATAAAACCATTGATTCCACGGATTCTAGTAGGCTTCTTCAAGAAGACCTTGGGCAATTACATCAATGGACTGTTGATTGGGGTATTCCTTTCAACGTGTCCAAATGCAAAGCATTACACATCTCAAGGAAAAAGCCTGGTACTATCATTGATAGACAATATAATCTAGACGACCAGCCGCTGGTAAGTGTATCGTCATACTCGGATCTGGGAATCTTGGTTTCTAACACACTTACGTGGGGGAACCACATTGAAGAAATTGTATCCAGAGCAAATAAGACCCTAGGCTTAATTAAACGGATTTGTAAAGACCTTACTGATCCTTCCACTAGAAAAGTTCTTTATTGTTCGCTTGTTAGATCCAAGCTGGAGTATGGTTCAAATTTGTGGTCTCCTTACACGAAGAAACATCGAAAATTGATTGAGAACGTGCAACGCCGAGCCACTAAGTTCATTTTAAATTATCCTGATCACAGATCGGTTAATTATGCCAATTAGACATTCTCCCACTTGAATTTCGGCGCGAAATAAGTGATCTAACATTCTTATTCAAATGTATAAATGGTCTTGTTCTTATAGATGCTTCCCAGTATTACAATACTTGTATTCCTCGTTACAATACTCGAAATTCCGATACAAACCATTTATTCCCAATAGACAAGTATAAGCAGGACTATTTTCATAATTCCTATTTCCCAAGATCCTGCAGAGTATGGAACAATCTCTCTCCCAAGATAAAGTCGTGTGGAACATTATACAACTTTAAGTCGGAACTGTTTACTTTATTCAAGATAATGTTACCAACTTATTGCCCGCCGGAATAGTTTCCGGTTAAGTGTGTGTGTGTGTTTTTACTTGAAGACACTAATCATTAAGGGGTTTGATATCAATTGGGACGCAAGTTCTGTTTCAGACTCCTGTCACAAGTACTAATTATTTTGTTAGTTTTTATTTATTGTTCTAGTCTCAGTTGTAATTGTAAAATTTTTTCTATGTAAATGTGACAAATTCATTAAACTAAACTAAACTATTTCTGATCGAAATCATAAGTATGACATAGTACACGGCACGCAATACACATCACACATGTGCATCAAATTTTGCATCCGGATATCATATCCCTGTTGCTGTATTAATCTAAGCAAACAAATAATTCTATATATTTCAAATACACTGTATTATTATCAAAAAGTAGATGAAATTAATATAATTTCTTTCACGTACCTTGTGTGTAGAGCCAAAACCGGAAAGGCCCAAGAAACGGAAGTGAATTATAAATGTTACTTAGCGAAAAAAAATCTGGCCATGTTATTTTTGCCGATGGAAATAGTAAAATAGACACTTCGACAGACATGCAACAACATATTCTTTTCGTAAAATAAAGCCTGGCTACGTTGCAAAAACGGAAACCTCTGAACGTATCAACGTATGAAACCATGGCATAAAGAATTAAAACCTTATCTATTTTCCGCATTTCAATCCTCTATTATTTGCCTGTTTCCGTTATGGGTTTGAAGATTTTTTACCTGATTTATTAACGCCAGTTTTTTATGGATTTACCTGAAATTTTCAAATCGTCTTAGTTGGGGTGGTATCACCCCCCCCCCCCACATCCCCCGGTCACTACGTCCCTGTTAATGAATGTAAAACTTCATTTAAAGACGCTAGCCTTGTCAACAGCAACTGTTGATTTCCACAAGGGGCGTCACTAGCACAAGAAAAAGATATTTACAAAGAAAAAAAAGACGTATAGCTATTTACGAGAGATTTATAAAAGGAGATTAAATTATATTGGTGTGACCCGGTCGTATATTTTAAAGATCTATAATTGATTCTATCTAACAATATAATTGTTTTACAAAATTTTTGAAAGAGTAAATTGATTGCGCTTCCTTAGCTTCGCGCGGAAGGCTATTCCAAAGTTTAGCACCAATGTACTTAAAGGTTTTTTTAAGAAATTCGCGTCTCGGTTTCGGAAAGGCCAGATCAGTGTGAGAATTTCTGAGGTCATAATCAGTTTGTAGAAAATTCCTCCTCATCAATAACTCTTTCAAATTTGGTGCAGTAAAATCGTTCAGAACTTGGAATAATATATAATGCTGCCTTACTCATACATCGTCTGGAATCTAAATTTTCCCATTCCAGAGCCCGAAGAACGTCAGCAGACCTGATCTCATAGCTAGCGCCAGCTATTATTCTAGCTGCCCGATTTTGAAACTTTTGTCACTTATCTTTCAGTGTTTTGTTACAAATATCCCAAAGTGGGGAGCAGTAATCGAAATAAGGTTGTATCAATGCGCTATAAATTGATTTCAACATGTTTGCTGGAATAAAGGGCTTGATGCGTTTTAACGTTCCTACACCTGCCACAACTTTTTTGCAAATTGTTTCAATGTGTTCGTCCCAACTTAGTATGTCACCAAGTGTAACGCCCAAACAGGAGATTGAATGTACTCTGGGAATCGGTTTGCCGTTTAACATTACAGGAAGATCATCGTTTATCTTATGAAGATTATTGCTTTGAATTAATTTGGTTTTGGTTAAATGATGCTGTAATTTGTTACTTGTTAGCCATTGGCTAATTTTATTCAAATCGTTATTCAAGTTGAGAATAAGTTCCCCAGAATCCTTAGCGGATGAAAATATCTGCGTAACATCGGCATATAAGCACGGGATTGTGTTATCAAGACTATCTGGGAGATCATTAATGTAAAGTAAAAACAATAATGGCCCTAATATGGATCCCTGAGGAACTCCACAGACTATCTCTTTGGGTGTTGACGTCATACCATTGACAAAACACACTTTGTTCCCTGTCAGAAATATAGGATTCAAACCACTTTAATTCAATATTTGAAACTCCAAATTGATCTTTCATTTTGCGTAACAAGATATTATGGTTAATTGAATCAAAGGCTTTCCGAATATCAAGAAAAAACTACACCGTTCAAGTCGCCGTTATCCATACTTGCGTACCATGCATCACACATTTGAATAAGTGCAGTCAAGGTCGAGTTCTTTGGGCGGAAACCAGATTGATACTTAGAAATCAAGAAGTTTTCATTTAAAAATTCGTGCAATTGGTTGAAAACAGAACGCTCAAAGATTTTACTAATAATTGGTAAAATTGAATTTGGGCGGTAATTTTCACATTTCTGTCTGTTGTCAGTTTTAAAAATCCATAATACCCATGCCTTTTTCCAATCGTCTACATAAATTCCAGTTTTAATCGAGAGGTTAAATATCCTCGTTAACGATGGCCTAATTATTTCGGCTGAAATTTTAAGTGCCCTAGCTTGCTGGGAAATTATGAATACCTGTCGATTTTGATGTTTTAAGTTTATGAAACTGAAGAAATACTTCATGTACGTTAATTTCGGAAAACGTAAATTGAATATCTGATCTAGAAATGATATTTTCTGACGAACTCGAGTCCAGGGAATTGTTCTCAATTTCAAAGGCCAGTTATGCCCCAACACTCAGGAAGTAGGCATTAAAGGACTCTGCAATATTTCGATCAGAAATAAAATTCTTGTCAATTTTTAGGTGGGAAATATTGTTTCCTATTATTTTTGCCTAGGAGTTCATTAATTAACTTCCAGCTTTGTTTGGGATCTTTGGCCTGAGCACAATCTTTGATTTTTTTACAGAAATTTTTTTGACAAAGATTTTTTTGGCCTTGTACATTTCTGTATTGACTTTATTCCGAGTTCCTTTATACTGAACCCAGTGCGTGTGGGACTTACATTTTACAGCTCTCTTTTTATGAAAGTCTCTCATTCGCATCAGCTCTTTAATATATGAATTAATCCAAGGGAGTGAATTGCCTCGAACCCTCATACGTGTGTTGTGACCTCGTTCTGTGTGCCTTAAATTCCATGCAGTATATTGGCCTATGTCAATGCTTTGATAGTTGAAAAATTATTTTTACAACAGAACTTTGTTAGACAGTTATTCAGCCATCATTCAAAGTCTTCCTGAAATTATCGATGGACCTGTTCCCCCCTCCCCCTCCTCGCTCTAGTGTCCGCCAGAGATGGTACATAAAGCATGATAAGCATCATCCAAATTATATAAATTAACAAATATTTTTATTGGACATGCCTTCGCTTGCTATACTATATTTTTCGAGATTTATTTGTGATGTTTAATTTTTAGGATATCTACCTACTTGATGATCCACTCAGTGCAGTTGACAGTCATGTTGGACAGCATATTTTTGATAGCTGTATCAAAGGCGCGTTAGCTGACAAAACTATTATATTTGTCACTCATCAATTACAGGTTCGACATATTCTAATATCCGTGTAGCATATGACACCTTGACCTTGTTATAGTTAATGTCGTGCCGCTATAATAATTTAGGAAAATGTTATGGATTTTGAAGTATATTTTACTGAAACTAAATCTTTATACGGAATTTCAGGGTAAAATTCCAACTTTGTTTTCTTATATATAGTATCTAAATCATTGTGACACAGTCATTCTCTTGAAAGATGGACGTATTGCCGAAATGGGCCAATATGAAACGCATATACAAGATGAAAAGGTAACTTTTCATTGACAGTAGTATAGAATGAGCGGCTCGAGGCCACTTTGGTGACAATCCCCCCACCCCCAGGGTGACAAAAATCCTTCTGCGCACCTTTTACGCGCATCTGATGACGTCACTTCCAGTTTCCTAAAAGTCTCACAACCCCTCGCGCCCCTCTCGGAACCCTCTGTCTACCGACCATCTCTTCCCTATCCCGCGCACCACCGCTGACCACCAATTTTCAAAAACCACCCACGCACATTTTGAAAAACCCACCGCGCATTCCTTGCACAGCCTTCTCGAGTCCTCCACCAAACCCCCACAAGCCTCCGCCCCACCCGACTGTTAGAGTCTTCCCAAAGTCTTCACAAAGTCTTTATAAGGTCTTCCTAAAGTCTTTATAAGGTCTTCCCAAAGTCTTCCCACCGGTAAACTGTTTAAAGGTAAGTGTTTTGCATATAATAAAGGCACTATGTCTATTACCAGAGTATCGGACTTCTCCGAAAATGCGTTCGAATTTGAGGATTCCGTCAGGAACAGGTTTGGATCTAAAAAGATCGGACTTGTGGCGGAAGATGGTGGACCTCTTTTACTCAAGCTGGAAAATTGCCTGGCCTATGGAATTAACAAAAGCAACAAGTTCGGAAAGGACAACTATACCATGATTCCGCTGGCCGTAGGGTCGCACCCGGAATTTGTATCAGCTCTGAAAACGGTGGAGAAAAGTGTGCTGCGATCGTCGGAAAACCCGACACCAATGTGATGAGATGTTTCTATCGGAGTGGAAGGCAACCGGTTTTGTATGCGAAAATTGACCGGAGTACAACGATGTACAGGGAGGACGGGAGCGGGGACATAAGTCCGATGAAGGAGCGCCACGGACACTACTACTTGGATGCTTTGATTAGGGTTTCGATCGGAATAGCCAATAACACCTGTAACGACAACATAAGCGTCAGGAAATTCTACCAAAATAAATTCGCACTGGTGGTTGATCTGAGAGCTGTTGATGACAGCCATATCGTTGGAAGTGGCAAAAAGCTTCTCGACGATAATCCCGTAATTCTTCTGGAGATCGAAACCGACGGGATGTCCGAAGAAATTTTCTGTAACATTTTCGTGTTATCCGATGGACTTATAAACATCAGCGAAAAGGCCTTCCAAGGTATTAGTTACTAAATAATAAAAGATGGAACCACTGGAAACACCATTCAACATGATCATTCTCGGAATGACCGGATGTGGGAAAACATATTACTTACTAAAAATGCTGGAGAACGATTATAAAAACCACTTCGACCACATATTCCTAATATGTCCTACATGCGAATGGAACAAAACGTATCAGGACTGGAAATACAATAAGGATAAGGACTTTATAGCCATGCCCGGCAAACAGGACGACGTAAATCTGTGCTTAAAACACGTTTCCTGGTTCGCAGAAGGAACGGATAGTCTAATCGTCCTCGACGACTGCGCTAGCAGTCAATCCGTCAAAAACAGAACCAGCGAATTGGTAAAACTTGGATTTAGCGCCAGGCACATTGGAATCTCAACCATCGTTATCACCCAACAACTTACGTCTATTGCGAAACCCTATAGAGAAAATATATCTAAACTCGTAACCTTTTGCAATCCAAGCGCAAAAGATACGAACATCATATTGGACGATTACTTGGCAAACACGGAAAAAGAAGAAAAAAAGATCATTAATACGCTAGAAAATAACGACTATGCCAGGTTGGAAATACTATTACGCCGACCTTATACCCACAAAACAATTATTCCGCATATTAAATAAAGGAATGGAAACCATATTCGAATCTGTAGAACCTGAGACATCTGAAGCACCTGCTCCTGCCGTAAGCGATCGAAGGGAAAAGCTACTAAAACTGGTTGACGCAGGTGAAATTAAATACACCGCAAAATACATCAAAAAAGCATCCGAAAAAACGCTGGAAAATATATATAGGCTACGAAAGGCAGAAGCTGGAGAACACAAACAACCAACTAGCTGACATCATCATTACCAAGTTTTCCGAACTTATGGAGGAGCTGGACGCTGTTAAGGATGCTGAAAGAATGAAAAAAGAACTTGAGGAAAACAGTCTGCTCAGAAAAGATCTAAAAAACCTTGTCAGTTATGTAACACCATACATCCCGCTCATTGGAATACTAAATGGTGGAATTACCGTTGGAAAACATGTGATCAGTATAAAGGTAAGCTGTCCGGAAAAGGAGGAATAAATTAACATTTTTAACGAAAATCAACAATTTATAGACAAGATTTTCCTACATACAAATAAAACAATCATGAGCCGTTCACACAGAAGATCGAATAACAGAGTCCAGTTATATTTCAACTGTCCGGAGAAGATGGATCGGATTAAGCGATTGTGTAAGTATACCAACTACAAGGACATGACGGTCATTATCTTAACCATGGGTGAAGAAGGTCTGCTGGCAAAGCATGGGATTAAGTTCAGAAAGGGATGGATGGGTCGAAACGCTGAAATTCGATGTGCGAATTACGTTTCCGGAGGTCCGAAGGGTATTAATATTTTTATTAACATTTCTGAATCCGTCGACGTGATTGACTGCCAGCTCGAAAGTCCGAAGGGTGGGATTTGCCTAGGCTTACCCACGGGTGTCACAAATGATTGGTTTCATACCTATAGGTCCTGGGCGGAGTGGTCGGAGGAAAGGGCAAGGCGCGCAGAGGAGGAGGAGATTCTGGCGGAGGCACGGATAGGAGAAATGGAAATGCTGGAGGAAATGCAGATGGAGGCCGAAATGCGGGAAGCTTTATACGGTCAGACTGACGAAATATCGGACATGTTCGAAGGTCTCGCGGTATAATTTAATGTAAGAAATGCATTAAAATTTTAATTTAAAGGGTATCAATACCGCTAACGGATAAATTGTTTTCGTACTCACCAGCCATAACCGATCGGTCGCTCCACCATATCCTCAACAGATTTCTCATACCATAGGAACGGACACGTAAAGACAGTACGGAAAACACCCACGACTCCGCAAAACCGTTAGGCCGTCCCAAATTCATGCCGAACTCCGGACCGCCCAGCGTGAAGTTGTCTATCTCCCCAAGCGTCACATCCTCCGGAACGGTGAGAAAAACGACGATGCCTATCGGTGGACCGAAAGGATCGCGTTCACACCCATAATAATAGCGTTCGGTCCCGTTCCCGTGTCCTCGAACATAACCTCTCTATCAACTCTTTCGTGTGAAAAGGTGACGCCGGCGTCCGCAAAGTTGATGCCTCTACACATCTGCAAGATGAACTCCGTCATTTCTTCGGAACATTCGAAGTATAGCTGGACTCTCCTGTACGCGTCCGTGCTTCTTTGCTGACTCTCATCCATTACTGTTTTATTATATGCAAAACACTTACCTTTAATTAAACAGTTTACCGGTGGGAAGACTTTGTGAAGACCTTATAAAGACTTTAGGAAGACCTTATGAAGACTTTGTGAAGACTTTGGGAAAACTCTAACAGTCGGGTGTGGCGGAGGCTTGTGGGGGTTTGGTAGAGGACTCGAGAAGGCTGTGCAAGGGATGCGCGGTGGGTTTTTCAAAATGTGCGTGGGTGGTTTTTGAAAATTGGTAGTCAGCGGTGGTGCCCGGAATGGGGAAGAGATGGTCGGTAGACAGAGGGTTCCGAGAGGGGCGCGAGGGATTGCGGATCTTTTAGGAAACCGGAAGTGACGTCATCAGATGCGCGTAAAAGGTGCGCAGAAGGATTTTTGTCAACCTGGGGGTGGGAGGATTGTCACCAAAGTGGTCTCGAACCGCTCATTCTATACTACTATTGACGAATCTACAAAAGCTAATTAATTAATGAATTTTGCTACTTGGAAAATGTGGAACTTGCAGTTTAGTGTAATTCAAAGATGTCATAATTAATTTTCCATTTGATAAACTTTTTTTCATTGGAGGATTTTTCAGTTTTAATAAACAATTATCATCAGAGGTTGCAAGCAGAAGAGAACGAGGATGAAGATGACGAAGAAGACAACAGTATACCTCTGGAAGAAATTGTAGGAAAGAGAACTCTTTCTGCTCAAAGTAATGGAGACAGTCAGCCAAATACGACTGAAGAAAAGAAAGAAACGAACGACAAGAGTAAAATGAATGGAGTGGAGAAGGGAAAAGGTTGGTAATATTACTACAACAACGACGACGATAGCAACAGCACAGCAATGTCACTGCAGTCATGTCAGCAACGACCGCAGTGACAGCAACGAAAACAGCGACAGCAGCGACAACGACAACAGCAAACATAATTGTAGAATGCGGTGGTGGAAATGCCAACGCGACTGCGGTAGTACATATAGGGGCAGAACGACCCTTTTTTATTAGTGAGCAACGGTGATCTCAATTATGTTCATGGTGAGCAACCATTATTAAAATACAATAAGAGAAAAATAGTCAAAGTGAGAAATACATATATTCATGAAGTCAGGGTAAGTGGATGAGTGACATCATTAAATATTCGGGCTTAATACAGTATCCGCAATGGTTGCTTTCCTCTGAATATTTATTGACAGATGTCCTTAATATTCATTTACTGTTAAGTTCCTCACCCTGAATATTCAATGATGCTAACCCACGCTAAACACTTATGCTCACCTTTCAATTCCTGTATACCTAGACTTTTCAAAGACGTAATTTTTATTTCCCGCGGGGAAAAAATTCTGCGGCGCACTTGTGGCACGTCTACCAGGTTAAATACGTGTTCTTATATATATGTTTTAGATATCCTTATGAAAGCCGAAGAGAGAAACACAGGAACAGTTTCACTTTCAACATATTTGAATTACTGTAAAGCAGCCGGAGGTTCGTTTCTTAATTAGTATTATATAGAGAGGTAGTTCCTTAAACGGCTGCCAATAAAGAAAAAGTGTTTGGGTACAAAGTAGGCCTACTAGAAAAACCACACAAAAACATTTGAGACCAAATATTTATTTATTTATACGTTTCCGTAGGAGACCATTGTATACTATACATATGTACTTATGGAAGAAATTATGATGATATTTACAAATTAAATATAAGCTTTACTTGTTGTTGTTCTATTATTGTTCCAGCAGTGTTGTTGTTGTTGTTTTAGGTTTTTGTGTAACCACTAGTGTGATATTGCTACTGTTTGCTACAACGGTGTTGAGAGTGTTTACTGACTTTTGGCTTGGACGGTGGATCAATGATGGGAACGGGAACGAGGTAAGACGTTTCTGTGAAGTTGTAGCTGAGTGTATATACTCTTCGTAAAAGTATCTCTTTAGAGTTTTAGGTCAGAAAATAGAAGGGGTTTCTGGACTCGTTTAACTAACACATTGTCATTGTTAACAGTATCTTAATTAAAATTCTGAATGGTTTCGCAAAATTTATATTGGCAATAAAATATTATTTGCACTGATGGGGATCCAACGATATACTCGATATGCATGGTAACACAATATTCTGTGTGTGTGTTTGTTAGTACGATAACTTAAAAGTATATCAAACATATTAATATTGTGGCACTAATGGACATTGCCCAAGGACAAATTGATAAAAATTATACCATGATTGTCACTAAATACATACAGTAAATGATAAATTGTTAATATTTTAATCGTTTTCTGGTTTTCTTATACATTCTAGACTGCAGGTTCATCTGGTAAACTAAATGACAACCCTGATCTTAATTTTTATGCAACAATTTACGGATCGTCATTGGTCGTCTTAATCATTCTTTTTGTCGTAAAATGTTTCATCTTTGTGAGTACCGTTCTACGTGCTTCGTCTAACCTTCATAATCAGGTATTCCGGGCTGTCACGAAAAGTCCCATGGAATTCTTTGACACGACTCCTATTGGACAGATCTTGAACAGATTCTCAAAAGACATTGATGAGATCGACACCAGGTTACCGCTCTATATAGAAATGCTAATACTGAATTTGTCTTTGATATCGATGACGTTCCTCATTATTGAGGTGATATTTCATTGGTTCATAATACCTCTTTTTATTTTCGTTGCAATGTATCTATCATTGAATATCTTTTTTCGTCGTTCAGCTCGTGAGTTAAAACGTCTGGATAACATATCAAGATCTCCTGTCTTCTCTCATATTTCTGCCTCAGTACAAGGTCTTTCAACACTACACGCCTATGGAAAAACTGGCGAGTTTTCGGAAATATTTGAAACACTACTCGATAAAAACACTTTGCCATATTTTATGTACTATCTGTCTTTCCGTTGGTTGGCTGTACGTCTTGATGTGATAAGTATTGGTATTGGAACGGTCACAGCACTTCTTATTGTTTTACTTCGAGATAATGTTCCTGCTGCCATGGGTGGACTGGCCATTACTTATGCTTTACAGGCAAGTATTATGACGATGATGATGATAAGTTATTTCAGACCGCTACACAAGGTGCATTTTTCCAATTCACTCAAGGCATAGAGGTTCATCGGGTACACGTGCTTGACAACTAAAGCAGGGGCGCACTGAGTGTTTGAGCAAGCGGACACGATCGGCCGGAATTACTGGACGGAAAACAGATTCAAACATTTTGGAGCTCTTGCTGAATATTCACATGGCTTCTGAGCTATGATTCGTGGAACAAGATTGACCCCTTCCATGCAAAAGATAGTCTGACCCCTATTTTTTTAGCTAAAAAAAGGCTTAGAAAATTTTCTTTCGAAAAAACTGTCAGTTCGCCCCTGGCTTAAGGTTCTTTTTTGTGAGGGACAATGACCAGACGATTTGGAGAAAAACCCGCGAAGCACAGGAGAGAACAAACCAAACTGCATGTCCTTAATATTAATTTTCAACCAAAGGGCTCACTTGAGCCTCTTTTACATATACACCCACCCCAAAGATCAACTTGGAAGCTTGATGTTGTATACTGTCTTTGGTAATTTGGGCTTATAATGAATACGCGAGTGAAATAAAATATCCAGAAATCCAGAATACATAAAATATTTACCCATTGTACATTTTACTATATTTATTTAGAACATAACTTTTATCACGTGATTTCCTGTTGATATCTGATCAGGTTAAATCTCTGTCCGAGTTCATCTTACGTTATAGATTAATTAATACATGATTTGAGAGTAAAATATAGTCAGCATAGTTTATCAAATTCTATATTGTTATACAGGGTGTATAAAAAAACCTGAACAGATTTGAAATTGCTCTCAATTTCGCAAAACAGCTTGTGGTATCACCCTTTTGTTACAAATAGATTCCTTGAGTACGAACTCATATTGTGTAAACCAGGAGGGTGTTTCTTTTCCAACAAACTAAAAATGGCTTGCGCACGAAATCTAAAAGTTTTAATCGTATTTTGAGTTAATGGATGGGAAATTTGTTGGGTTTTTGTGTTAGCCGCGGTCAGCGGATGTCAAGATGATGAATTTCGGAAATTATCGTCAGGTCGTTTCGGAAATTGTCGTCTATGGTTTTTTATTGTACATGATGAATTTCGGAAATTGTCGTCATAGACTATTTCGGAAAATCGTACATCAAGAGGCATTTCTTAGTAAAAGTTGGCGATCGTAGTTTTCTAATGTTATTTAACACGCTGAATTCGAAAATGATGGTCGCCAGATCTCAATCTGCAGTTGAGTAGTCGAAAATGACGTCAAAACTTTCGTCTACATATGACGTCACAGCACATATAGATTCAAGAGAAATAAATATTTTAGATTTGTTACTCATCCAATTACATGTTTAAATCATTTTCAATCACAAATATCTTTCACCTTTATTTTGGCAAAAAATGTTCAAAAAAAATTCAATAAATGCTCATTATCATTAAAAGTCTATATAACGTTGCAAAATGCATTGCGGTTAAATATCAAAGTAGTTAATTGTGCGTCCGCCATAAAACTTCCCATTTTACACGGTCAAACGATGTCACTTGAAGTGTATGACTGGTCTGATCGGAAAATTTTAATCAAATAGGGGAGAGCCATTTGGACCGATATGATACAGTGCATCGAATGCTCACTAATATACTTAGCGCGTATCCTAAATTCTGATCATACCTCACTGTTCTGTTCACTTATCGCATTTGTTCTTTGAAATTTTTTCGTCAACAGAGCAGCCGCAGACGCCAGTACAGAATAAGTTTGCTTTCTTGCAGCCACAGCGTAATGTCGTGCAGCCACTTTTACAAGAGCAGGATATAATTTCCTTGCATGCGTTCGGAATGGGTTCCTTTGTCATAAGGAGAGGGACGAGTTTACTGCCGCCTTCGCTTTCTCTCTTCCATCCCATTTCGTCCGGGTTTGGCAGGATAGGGTCCTGGCATGAAGCTTGTTTCCACACGAGTGATTGATCGTGCACGCGCTTGATATGCAATTCCAGTGCGTCCTTGATCGGATGCAACGCTTCAGGTTTCTTTGTCTTCGAAAAGGGAAGAACTCTCGCATCATTCACTGATTCCATGTGCCCGCAGGTGTAAATCGCACAGATGAACTTTTCGGCATCCCTGACTTTGTTGGCCGATAGTTCTCCTTCACCTAGCCACGCTAGAAGGTAATGTTTGTCTTGAAATGTCTTCCACGCTGACAATTTGGAGTGGTTGGAGATATATGACGTTGTGTCACAACCAGTCAGCGCATGGAAAGGGAGGAGCGCTGATAGTGATCCCGCGGGATGATTCTCGCTTATCGCCCTGATGTTGAAGAACTTGCGCCTGGCCGCTGTTCCTGCCATCATCCACACATTTGCAGAAGGCATACTTGGCAAATGCGCCACAAGAAGTAACAGTACGTCAGTATCTCTGGCAGACACAACAACCGTGTCACAACTGTTGACGATAGCATGTAGAACCAGTCTTGTATCAGCTTCTTCGTGATCTGCGCATAAAAGAGAAGAATCAACCAATTGGTTTGACGATTGCGCTTCTTTCCCGTCGGAAAATCCACCTGCAACAACAATGACTTTCTCTTGAGGTGCATTTGCAATTAAATGTTCGGACAGAAATTTGGCCAAGTTTTCCTTGTTTTCTGGTAAAGCTAAGAACTTTGACCAGCTGTTCGGAAGTGGAACATTCTTGTTCTCAATTACACGACGAACGGGGCGAATAGTCCTGGTACGGCGTTCTCTCGTGCCTGCTTTGATTGAACTCTTCTCGTATCGATCTGTCGAATAGTACGTGAATTTGCTGATACCGCGAACCTGCTCTCAATACGGCATCTTGGAATCTATCTGCGTAGGCTCCAAAGGTTTGAGCGTCGGCAGGTTTTCCTACTGCTGCTACTAACGCCATGCCGTCAATCAGTAAACATGCACTTCCTTGCAAATCAATAGCACTCGGACATTCTATTCCCCTGGTGAGAACATCAGCCAGCAGTGCATTCTGGCCAGTTCTAAGTTTACCATTCGTATCTGCTAATGATATGGGTAAGGACATTAGTTCATGCGACAAAACATTATGTAAATCTACTTCTCGACCAGCTCCGTAAGCAACGATAAGACGCTGTAAAACACTCCTGTCAGCCCGTAAAATCGTGTTCTTTCTCTTTGCCCCCTTTGGCGACTTGATACAACGAATCGAAAGTAAGAGCATTGTTCTTGTGCATTGTATCCATAAATTGAACCTTGGTGTCCCCTTGCTCGTTATTAGATTAGATTAGATTTATTAAAATACTTGAATGGCAGTTCAAAATCGAACTGAAAAACACAAGTTTACATAGTTTAAAAATAATAGAACAAAATACGAAAATACAGATTATAGATACGCTGGTAATTCTAATTATAATAACGTAGGATTACTAATTTACAAATGATATATAATCTATAGAAGCCTAAAAGGTTAAAAAGAGTTACATTTTTTTCGTACGCAATATGGCAAAAAACTATCATTATAGCGTTTAGTTCGGGTTTTAAAAAGTGAGATAGATCGGGAATGTCTAAGATTGTACTGATGATCTAAAGGTTCAGGTAATAGATTAAAAATTTTGCTCGAAGAGTCACTATAATTGTTTTTGTAAAAAGATCTGCATAACAATTCCCTTCTCCCCTCGAGAGTGGGCAACTTTAGGTCTTCGAGGCTTTCGGAGTAGGACAAGTGGGGAACAATAATTTTGAACGCACGTCTCTGAATGTGCTCTAATTCGTCAGTCAGGAACTTTGGTAACGATGTATGCCAGACTGGACACGCATATTCCAAGACAGGTCTGATAAAACTACAATATACTGTCCTAAGATCACTCGGTTGGACACCATTTCTTCTTAATATCCTTAAAGCGTTCAGACGTTTGCTTGCTTTAGAGGATATGTGCCTGATGTGTGTAGTCCACTTAAGATCGGAGGTCAAATTTACCCCCAGGAGCTTGATGGTATTAACAGCCCCAGGGGTTGGTTATTGACAATCAAGGGTTGCGCCAAGGGTTGATTGATCAAAAATGACACGGTGAAATCTTTAGTTTTTTTAACGTTCAACTTCATGTTGTTCGCACTTGACCACTGGGTCACGTTGTCAAGTTCTTGCTGTAATTTTGGTAGATCCGGTTCACATACTCTAACGACTTCAGAGATTGCACAATCGTCAACATACTTGTACAAAGGCAATTCGCTGGACAGATCATTGACCATTATAAGAAAGAACAGAGGACCAAGTTTGGTACATTGCGGAACTCCAGCTTTTATTTCTTTCCAATCAGATTTACAAGTTTTTAATTTGACGCGCTGCTGTCTGCCTTGAAGAAAACATGAACACCAGTTTAATAGGACCGGTGGAACATTGAGAAGCTGTAACTTGCGCATCAGAATGTTATGATCAATTCGATCAAACGCTTTGGAAAAATCGATGAAGCAGGTTCGGATAATGGTGTTAGGCGTTTCCAGGGCAGAGAGCCAGTAGTGGACTAAATGCACGAGGGCGTGAGTGGTTGAAGACTTTTTCACACTACCAAACTGGAAAGGGTCGATGTATGGCATAACAATAGGTGCAAGCCAGTTGAAAACAAAAGACTCAAGAATTTTGCTCAATACTGCAGTTAGAGATATAGGTCTAAGGTCCGTATCAATAGACTTCGGTCTAGAGATCTTCCCCAACGGGAGGACATCCGCACATATCCACAGCCCGGGGACACGATCTTCTCTAATAGAAGAGTTAAACATGGAACACACAGGGATGCTAATAGTTGTGGCGCAGGTTTTCAAGAGCCAATTGGGAATCTCGTCAGGTCCTACAGACTTGCGATCTTGGACAGCCACCAAAGCAAGTTCTACGGCATCACGGGTAATAATGTACTCATCAGGAATGTTGGAAACAGGTATGGGAGTAAAGTTTAGTTGTGGTATGTCAGCAGCAACACTGCAAAAGGATTCGTTAATAGCGACAGCAAGATCGAAGTCCTTCAAAACAGTGCCATTTACGGCTAAGCTTGTTAACGGGGGAGGATTAGAAAGTCCAGACAACAGCTTGATTCCGTCCCACCACTTTTTAGGATTACTCTCATGCATGTGATTAATTTTGTCATTGTAGAATCTTTGGCGTGCTCTCTTGCAGAGTTTTATCACTTTATTGCGATAAACATTATATTGGTGTAAGTCATTATTCAACCAAGCTTGTTGACGTTTCTTAATAGATTCTTTAATAACAGGAGTAATCCATGGTTTGTCGTTAGGATGATGTTTCACAGTACGCATGGGGATACAGGAATTCAAAGCAACGTGAACTACCGACTGGAAAGAATCCAGTTGTTCCTCGCATGAATTCAGCCGCATGAGTGGCGTCCAGTTAACAGTATTCAGACGAGAGATCAAATTTTGTTTGTTAGGAGCTCGATAATCACGCTTTTGCAATCGTGTGGTTGGTAGACTTGGAGCATGTGTCAAAATAGGTTGTAGTAAGATACTGGAATGATCGGATTGACCAATAGGAGGCAGGATGATGGCATCGTAGTAAGGTGACAGAGTTGAAAAAGCTTGGTCAAGGATATTACTTTCCCTGGTGGGCTTGGTAACCAGTTTCTTCAATCTAAAAGAGTTGCAGAGATTGCCTGGTTGGAATTGATTGAAATCACCAAGGACCAAGATGGCAGAATTAGGATAGGTGGCAAGTAAAGAATCCAAACATTTGAAGATATGCATTCGAAGAACATGGTCATCGCTCTGAGGAGGATGGTAAACTGTTTCCAATAAAATAGAGTTGATTCCTCGTGGTAAACGTTCCATTCTGATTAGAAACCATTGACTCTCAATTTCTGGCTCACTCAGGTCAGTTAATTCAGTAAAATTAAGTTGAGAATTGAAATAGGTGCAAAGACCGCCCCCTTGTTGGTTATTCGGTCTATCCCTTCGGCACGATACACAGCCAGGTATACGAATAAGTTCATCAGTTATTCGTGAATTTAACCATGTTTCAGTAATTACGACAACATTGTATAATTCGGTGGAAATTGATGCTGAGACCTCGTCTAACTTATTGAACATCGACCTAACATTACTAAACCAAATCTTGGGGAAGCGTGGAATTGTAACTGATCTCCGCAAGGGGATTAATGAACTATAATCAGGGACACTGATGCACTCAGGCCGTTTGTTTTTCCTGGGTTTCATGATTGTAGGAATCGGGTATTTGTTAAGTTATTAGGTTGTTGTTGAAGTGGTTCAGTCAACCTTTGCTGTACAAAGTCTTTAACTTGTTTCTGTCCCATATCTTTCGCGCCTAACAGTGATTCCTGAATCTCGACGGTGGCCAAATCTTTCATAGCGATGCTAAAAAGACATTCTGGATGGGATGTTGGTGAAAACACATGATGCTGCTCGAAGACGGAAATGAGTGATTCTTCATCCTTATTGTCGCGAACAATCCTTGCAGGCGCAGATTCGTTGTAAGAATACGTATCCTCTTGAACTAGGCCAAACATCTCATGAGTTTTCTCAGCAATCTCCGACCGCAAATTATAAGACAGAGCCCACCTTGGAAGTAGAAAATAATAAATTTTACACCATTAATTTGGTAAATATATAATTGTAGGTAGTATGTAAATACTTTACAAGTTGTTCCGTATTTTGACACTTTATTAAATAGTGCACACGTGAGTATCGATCTCAAACCGGTTTTGTACTACACAAATAACCAGTTATCCAAATAAGTAACTGGCCGATTAAGGCTGCATGTTTGCGCCCGATTTAGCATTATTTGGACACTTGAAATAAGGAACTGAATATAAAATGTATTTATTAAAAGCGTTAACGCACCTGCTCAAGGCTGAAGATGTCTTAGTTATACCAACAATACCACCTCCTCGTTTACCAATGCTGTTCAACCACTCGAGGCTGTGGTCAGCGCTTACTTCATTGAAAGCGCCCTCTTTCTACTTTACAACGAAGTTACCCTTCTTAAACTCCCGTAACACTTCATGCGGCAATTGTTCCATCTCGGCGATAAATACCGACCTCCACTTGGCATAATTCAGGTGGTCGTACCTGAAAAAGTATGGAAGCATGGCACGGAAGCTGTCTAGATACAACTCCCAATCTCCCTCCCGCTGCGCACGGGTAAAATCGAGTAGGATAAATATCATCTCCATATAGTTTCACCAGAACTGAAAATTGACATTTTCCTGACACTTCTGCGTTAAGAACTCGTCGTACACCATTTGAAATTGTGGCGACTTCAAACATGTAATCAAATCATTAACATTCTGCTCTGACGACAAAAGACGCCAAATCTGCAGTGCAAGATCAACATTGATCGTTTTGCAAAACTTGAGTAACAGCGGGACCAACAGGCGCCACAGTGTTATCTTATGCGCACGCATTGCTCTCTTATACGCCTTGCCGTTCATCACAGTCTCAGCCGCATTTGGTCCAAGGAGATCACTCTATCCAAGAGTCAACAAGACCTGATCCCTTCATATGATCTCCAATGGTCTTAAGAAAACACATAGATATATGGAGACCGCCGATTTGCACGACAAGTTTCTCTCGATATTCTGGAATTGCCCATTTCAACTCGACTAATTTGCAGTACAGTGCCTGATCTACGGTGATAATTGTGTACTGCTGTCCAAGCACGGTGGCCACATGCATGCATTTCTTAACGACCGTGTACAAGGTATCCATGGCCATTTCGTGCGCGGGTGCTTGTATGATTGGCATGTACCCTACCTTTGTTACTTCATGCACGAACTTGTCGCCAACTTCTCCCCGTGATAGCGACTGGTTAAACTCCGTCCATCCGCTTCTGATCACACCTTCGCTTCGTAGCATATTGAATGCCAAGTCAGTAGCTTTGGCAGCTTGTTTACATTCTTTCTTATCTTTAGCTTGGTCATACCACGTCGTCATAACTGCTTTAATGAAGACAGGATTGATTTTTCTTGCCACAATCGTTTCAATCTTGTCCATCGATTCTGGAATATTCAGACTTCGCTTTTTCGATGGATTTACACCGTCAAGTAACGACGAATTTTCTGCCCCACGTTGCCATGCAGCTATTTGTGTGGCATGAAACGTGTTCTTACCGTCCAGCGTTTCATCCAAAATATGAATGTTATCAGCAGAGAAGTGTACGAAATTACCTTGCACCAAATTTGGCGGGATCACGGTTCCGCTTTTTTCATCCAAAGTGTTTAAAACACTCTCGGCTAAAGAATTTGGTCATAAGTCAGAATATGTCCTGCCTTGTGAAAAAGTTTAACTAGATCTTTCGATCTTGTGACTTGGTGAAGGGTGCTCCCTAAGCCAATGTGCTTAGGTGTCCATTTCTTACCGTTGCTTACCCCGTACACAATATCTTGAGCAACGGAAAGCGCTTTACTGCGAACTTCATTTTCTTTTTCTTCAATCGTTTCGTCATCTAAAAGTCGTTCACCTCCGAACAAAAGATTTAGAAACATTTGCAGACTTTCGGGAACACAATCACCGACATCGTGCATGCCTATGTCGAGTCCCTTGTAACCTGGGGTCTCCCGCAGATCAGCACGTATCATCAACGCAACATGAACAAGAGAGAGGAGCTAGATTGTCTTGTTGGTGGTAAACAGGCAGAGTTAGTTCATTGTCTTCTTCGTCAACCGTATCCTGGGCTACTAACTGGGACAGAGCCATTTTAGCGCACTTTTTGGGAATTAGCAAGGTGTGACGCTCAGACGGCCCCCTTTCAAATGATTGCACGCACTCTATGATGTTTCCAACCATGTGCATAAGTTTGTCCTTAAAAATCGCCCTTCGACTAATAAGAGGGAAGCGTGTTGGCCGCTTTTTCGGCTAATACAGTGTATCTTTCCCATGCGTCATCAAGTCTAATATATCATGGCCCTTGTCAACAGCATACTCCAATTCTTTGGACAACCAAACCAATGCTAAGTCATTGTCTTTCATTTCACGCTTTGTCTTATTCCTTGATCTTTTAGATGCATTGAAGCATGATAAATGGTACTTGGCTTCAGCGGCTATCAAATCTGAGATACCCGCAAATCGAATGCACAGTATTTTGTCAAACTTAGAAATCTCAATAATTTGTTCACTCATCTTAAATGTCATAACTGACGATAAGCGCTCATTCGTATGAACCTGACAGAAAGCACATTTATCCCAATCAACTTGTTCTGTTTGCGCACGCGTTTTACGCGGACTTGAGGTTGGTCTTGCAGACGCCTCATCTTTGTTGCACTTTTTCTCCAGGCGCTGAATTTTGTCTTTGCTTGTAAATAGGGAATAGCATTTGACATGCCAAACGATTGAAGCATCAATACTATTTATGACTTCTTCCAGCCTACTGATTATTTCCCTGTTCCCAACATCTCTAACTTGCTCCGCAAATTCATGGCATCGCGAACTACTGTTCTGTTATAATCAGTAGCAGCTCTCAAATGTTCATCTTTAAGACTGGTCTGGCAAAAAATACAAGCATTTACGTCGATTTGTGAAGATCTTTTTAACGTTAAAATGGGATCCATCTTTGCAGCTCGAAAGTTCAAGACCACAAGATCCGCAACAAACAATAACAGCAAAACTGAACCAATTTTCCCCATGCAATTAAGAAAACAGACTTCGCAAATTTATATTGTCCTCTAAACGGTGAAATATCCTCTAAACGGTGAATATATTAAATCAAGAAGAAAATGGAAAGCATTTTAATACATTTTACAAATCAGACAGGCGCCGCCAAGACGGCGCCAATATCTAGTCTACGAACCCATTCTCTACCCCTCAGACGCTTGTTTGTCTGGGTTGTAATTTTTTTTAAATATTTTTTTTTCAAAACCTATTCCCAGTTCTGTTTTCAAATATACTTATGCCACGATCGCCAGAAGTTCAAAACTCTTAAAGACTAAAAAGAATAATTCGGTTTCATCAGCTTTCATTTCTCGCCGTAAAATTAAAGTCGGCTTTTACTCAAATTCTTTGTTTATTTAATCGGCTATTTCGTGTTATTCGTAAACTTTATGCTTATTTCTGGTCTATTAGCTTTTTTAACAACTCACAAAGGAGAAAATAGCGTTTGCAATTTCGAAATAGACACGAACAAGTAAGAGAGCGTCATTTCTAGTGTCAGTCACATGACGTCATTAATATGACGTCATTATCTTGATCCAAACGCAAAATCAGAGTTGGCGACCATGAAATTCCGATTCAGCGTCAAAAACTGCATAAGAAGACACTTGTCGCCAACTTGTACTAAGAAATGCCTCATGCGCTTTATTACCATTTGCGTTCAACTGGTCAGCGTCCCGATTTTTTCGCGTTTGTTCACGTTTCAAACGTACACATTTCTGAGCGAAACGTGCAGGTTTGAACCGATAAACTGTTGCATTGTTTACAAAAATTTCCAACGTTTGTGGAAAAATCCGAACAGGTTTTGTTCACGTGATTAACCCGTTTGCATGTTTTAACGTCATGTTTTATAATTTGTTATTGTATCTTTTCCTATTTTTCCCGCTCAAATTTTTTGCGTAAAAACTTTCGGACAACTTATAACAGTACTAAAATCATATGATGGAAACTAAACAAGTCAACACATTCGGTAGAAGTTATTCTCAAGGAGTCGCTCTCGATCAAGATTTGAGATGTTTAATAATTAAGTTAATTGTTGATAGCATTATAAAAGAGGGGGGCGATAGAACCACTGGTTATATTCCTTGTACTCTTGCAAAGTTATCAAGACGGTTTTGTGTGTCGAGCAAGACTATATATAAAATCTGTGTGGCACCGATTTTGTGAGGAAATGACAACGACGCCGAAAAAAAAGGAGGCATGACACACAGTAAATTGGAGGAAGGCGACCTTGAGTTGATCGAAGTTTTAAAAGTGCATTCGCCGTCAATCTCACTATCTGAAATTATACAAGAGTTACCAGCACTAGAAATTTCTATGTCAGCTATCTCGAGGGCCATTAAAAATAGGCTACTTTCAGGCGAACAATATACGAGGGAAAAACTCACTAGATTGGCAAGAGAGAGATTCATCCCGGAAAACATGTTCTATACCCAGCTTTTCATCAATTACCTTTCGTCAAAAGATCCGTATAAATTAAAATTTTTTGACGAAGCTGGGATAAAAATTCCTTGTGTGGGAACTAGAACATACGGACACAGTGCTAAGGGGACACGCAGTGTTGAAGTGGTCAGAAAACACGAATCCCCCAATAAAACATTGAATATGCTTGTTTCTCTTGATGGCCCAGTTTACCACAACATCGTTAACGGAGGCACCAATACTGCTCGTTTTCTTATGTTTTTTGAAGAAGCATGCGAAGTTGCCAATATCGAGACTGGTCGACCGTGTCTCGAGGTTGGTGACATTGTTGTGATGGACAATTTGTCCGCGCATCATTATGAAGGTGGGGAGATTTTGGAAGAGTGGTTTGACACGATGGGAATAGAATTGTTATACACACCTTCTTACTCTCCTGATCTGAACCAAATTGAACTGTGTTTCAACAAGGTTAAAACTGTTTTAAATGGAGGCTTGAAGGATCTCGTTCATACCAATTTGAATTTGGCAGTTGCAGAAGCAGTCGACACTATAACGGCACACGATATGGTTGGGTTTTACGAACACACATCGTATCTTTTCGTTGAATAAATGTTATGTTCTTACGTGACAATAAAAAAAATTCAATTTGATTACTGTATTTTATTACTATTACTGTAAATACCTAAACAAATTATTACAGTATGCACTATGCATATTATATTTTTCTAAAGCAACATTAAACAAGAATTTAATAAGTTATCTCATAAATATAAACAGGAGAATCTATAAGTTCCCTCAAATTGTAAAAGCGATATAATAATAGTACGTTCTTTCATTGTCTCAGAGTCTTTCTATACTCATTCTGGTTCTTACAAATCATAAAATATTTATCATTTATAGACCCGGAGCGAGGGGGATTCGACGTAATATTTCCCGAAGTGATCATATTTTCCGAGGGGCTTTGCCCCGAGGAAAATATCATCACTGAGGGAAATATCGCCGAATCCTCCGAGCGGAGGGTCTATAAATGATATATTATACCGACAGTTAAAGAACTCACTAAGAGTCTGTTAAGTTCAGAATAAACTTTAAAACTTGCTGAATATTAATAACTGCGCGAATACAATTTTTAATTTCTTATCTATACCTGAGTTTTTGACGTTTTCTCCTTAAAATATTTGAGCAAGTATCCTTTGGATCGTTGAATGTAACATACATACGTGTTGAAATCTTTGGTTTACTTAATAAATCTTCTGTAGTTCTGTACGAAATTAATACAAACAACAGCTCGCGAACGCCATATTGTTTCAGAGCGTGCATGGTGTCCACGCGTCGCGCGTAGGATACTATAATATCCCACGGTGGATTGCGAAATCATGAATTTGAGTGAAATACCGTAAAAAATCACACTATCACGTGGTACAAATGCTGTTTTTTCATTGGACAATTTGAATTTGAGGTATAATATTACTATATATAGCAAATGATGAACGTGCAATATAAATATAATGCAACATGAAGTCACATGTTTACCGATCATACAACATATTTGTATAGTCTAAAATAGCAAACAAAATATCAACAAAATCATAATTACAATTTCTGTTCCAACATTTTAAAATAACATAAAATGAATGAAGTTTATACCAAACGAATGTACAAAAAACAAACATTTTATCATAACATAACAAATATAAACAATGCATATGTATACCGTTTTTCAATATCAATTGTGAGTGTGATGTGTTGCCATATTCATCAGAAGAGACGCAGCTGCATACGAGTCGTCAGAGTTTACTTCTATATCTTGATATTTTTCGACAACAGCTTTGTCGTTTTCTTTCCCTTCGCTCTCGGTCATTTGTTCTAGTTGTGTCTGAGTCGAATAACAATTCAAACCATTTGAACCATGTACATAATTCATAGGCAAAACACCATACTCAGTTCGAGGATAATGAAAGGGTCCAACGTTCGCTGGATACGCAGGAAAATGTCCAAGGCTTTGTGGATAAGTTGTTGGAAAGTTCTCAATGCTCGCTGAGTGATACGGTTGGTTATACATAGGCATTGTGGGCATTATTGGATCGTGTTGAATAGCAATGGGGTTGTAATCGACAGAAGGTGGAAAAACGCGGAGCGTACGAAAAAGGGAAATCAGGACTCTGATTTGGTGTTAATGTTTCTTTACTATTAATATGCCTTACGCTTTCCCGCATTACTATGGCCAGCTGTTCAGCTTCTTCTCCTTCATCACGAGGGGCAGTGTTTAGAATTTGAGACTGAGGAACTTCGTCGTGAGCATCTGAAGTGAAACTGCAACCGGTACGTTTGCTTATTGGAAATTCTGTGTCGAGTCTCTCGAGTGAATCTTTTGCAGGATTTCCACGTTTCCGGCTGCCAGTCTGCTTCGACCTGTGATACGTATTTGTAATACTGGGGCAATTACTCTCAAGTAAAGCTTTGTCTAAAATCATTTCCATGTCTTGTTTTGCTGGTATTTTTCCATTCATGTTTTTCTTGCAATATTATTGCACGAGGTAGACATGCTTCCTTAACAAAGACCAATTTTTTATTCCATTTACGGTATATGTAGCTTTATTTGCTTGAAACAAGTAGTCGCTTTCTATTCTGACTTGAACCTGGTCTTTGGCAGCGCTGACTGCGGTTTTTTTGCATTTTACAGTCAAACCGGATGTTCGGATCGATCTGTTCCCCTGAATATTGCAATATTGTTGGGAATATTGCAATTTTGATTGCGAGATTGCTCTGAGCAAGTTGCAACCGACGTGATCAAATTGCAACTTGAAATTCACAACCAGATTTGTAAACAAAGTCTCTGATTGGCTACTAGTAGCAAAGAAGACCAATCCATTTGCTCAGAGTATTTGATTGGTTCTTCTTTGCTACTAGTAGCCAATCAGAGACTTTGTTTACAAATCTGGTTGTGAATTTCAACTTGCAATTTGATCACGTCGGTTGCAACTTGCTCAGAGCAATCCCGCAATCAAAATTGCAATATTCCCAACAATATTGCAATGCTACATTCAGGGGAACAGAACATCCGGTTTGACTGTAACTCTTCGATCAATTTTTCAAGTTCACGTTCGTGTTTTTTGAGTTGACTTCGTAAATCTTTAACGTTATGTTCACCAGGATGAAATTTTTCCATACCACATTTAAAGACCGAAGTGCATTTCCAATAGTCACATGAACGAGAGGTATGTCCCAGGCGCAAATGACAATTTCTACAAACGTTACCATCGCGAGGATCTGACTTGACTCGTTCTAGTTTCGCCATTCGGTTTCTTGTAACTTCTCTCGTAAGCTGTGAATAACGGACCGTTTTTGTTCGATTTTTTCTTCGCCTTTTATAATGTATCTCTCAGTAGGAGTTCGTTCTTCTGCCAACTTATTTGTGTTGCAAGTTATGTCGTAGTCACTGTTATTACTGTCAGAATCTTCCTCATTACTATCAAATCCTTGAAAATCCTTATCTAAACAAGTTCGTGCTGTCGAACGATCAGATGAAATTGAGCTTGGACCTGGTTGATCTGCATTTTTGTCGTCTTTTCGTTTCACACTTGGAGAAGACCCTTCGAATATTGGTAATTTCAATCGAGAAACATCCGTTCCTTCAATGCGCTTCGAGCCTGAAATTGCCATTCGCAAGCAAACTGGGTCGTCATTCAATACAACATATTCACCTTCGTCGTTTTCATACTGCAATCCAAATTCCATATATTTCGGAATTTCACGCAATATAGCTGTTATTAATGTCTCAATCAATTCCATGGTTGCCCATCCCCCCCCCCCCGGGCGTTTGTCGGGCATTCTCAACTGTAGTTGTTCCCA